AATTCGAGGTTCGGCAGAAGCATTTATCGCGTCTATTGAGTCGACGTCAGGGTCGTAACCATCTGGATAGATGGAATTGCCGACTACTGGTGCAAGACTGGATTGACGGGACCTAGTTCGGACTTCGAACAATTGAGTCTGTTTTTGAGACATAGTTGTTCCATCATGCAGTAGCAAAGTTCCAGTTGATGCTTGGCTAAATGGGTTTCGCGGTTGATTTCCTGAATTAAGATTGACAGCTTCAGAATTATCAGACAGTGGGCATCCAAGAGTCTGATATTCTATTACTGGGTTCGATTGAGTGCCAAAGTCACGTAAAGGGCTAACATTTTGCATACCAGGGCGCGCGGAATTGTCGTTGCTAGGTTGCACTGTCCGGTTGTTCGGAACGCCTGATTCCGCTGTGTGGCCTTGCGAAGGAAGCACTACCTGGCCAACACATTGTCTTTTCGTAGCTAGCGGGTAGAGGTCGCACGCTGATCGCTTATTGGAAATAATCGCTTCTGCGGAACTCGAATTTTGTTCCTTTTGTATTGTTCCACGTTTCCTGCTTTCAAGGCTATCTGCCTGGCTGTCAACTTGGTCGGCTGATGCTGAGAAACTCAATATGGGCAGATTAGAATTTTCTACTTCAGAATCCGGAGTTCGTGCTTCTCCCTCTCCCATCTCGGGGATGAACGGAGTCTGTGAAGGTATCTGTTTGTAGATTTTGGACAGAACATCATTGAGGTCTTTGGCCCATTCTTCTTGAACTGGCTTTAGATTTTTACGTATCATATGCACCTTAGACATACTGATCTTACGCCATCTATAAATTATCAATATGAAAAGAACCGGTCTGGAGGAAAATAAAATTAACTCACTTTCTCCAATGAGGCTTTGAGATGCGGAATAAATCGACGAGCTCAAAATGCGACAGCTTCTTCCCGCGATCGACTTTGAAGTCTTCCGCCCGGGAAGCTTTGTGACCTAGCACACGTTGGAGAGCCACGCTTCTAGTTGTCTCACCCTTTCGCAGAGTGATATTCTTCTCGAGCAATTGAACTTGTTCGTATAACTTAATCTCAAGCAGCCTCTGAGTCAAATCATTCATCTCCGAATGGTGGCCAAGCACTTTCAACAACTGCTTGACGATATGTCCATCACTGAGCAAGGGCAATTTATTCCAGAAGTGATCAGGGTTCGCGCCATAGGTGGCTATGAATTCTGTCGCACTTTTTTCAAGATCATGACGAAAAGACTCATAAATCAATTTTGAATCTGGATCTTGAAGGACTAATTGAATGTCGGTTTCTTCATTGATGGTTTCTTCGTTGGTGGT